CTTTTGGGGAGAAACTTTCCTCGGGGTTTTTTCAAATCTTTAAAAAATTTGGGCTAAGCCAGGCAATTCAGGAAAATTTTTCCTTTGCGGGTTGTTGCAAAGGTGGGAAAGATAGAGATTGTCCTAAAGAAAAAAGAGAATACTTCTTGGCAATGTCTTGGTCATCCCCTGGAGAATCATAATTCACTTATTCCCAAGAAAGATACAGGTTTGTACTACAGAAAGTGCCAGTTAATTTCCAAGGAAGATGCCACTCATGATACGAAGCTTTTCTGCTTGATGCTGCCACCAAGCACTCACCTTCAGGTGCCAATTGGGCAACATGTTTACCTCAAGCTAACTATTGCAGGTACTGAAATAGTGAAGCCATATACACCTGTATCTGCTTCCTTACTCTCAGAGTTTAAGGAACCAGTTATTCCCAATAATAAATACATCTACTTTCTGATCAAAATCTATCCTGCTGGACTCTTTACACCAGAGCTTGATCATCTTCAGATTGGAGATTTTGTTTCCGTAAGCAATCCTGAAGGCAATTTTAAAATATCCCAGTTCCAAGAATTGGAAGATCTCTTTTTATTGGCAGCTGGAACAGGCTTCACACCAATGGTTAAAATACTGAATTATGCTTTGACCAATATATCCAGTCTCAGGAAGGTGAAGCTGATGTTCTTCAATAAAACAGAGGATGATATAATTTGGAGAAGCCAATTGGAGAAATTAGCATTTAAAGATAAAAGATTTGATGTTGAATTTGTTCTCTCAAAACCTACTTCTGAATGGAATGGGAAAAGGGGACACATTTCATTAGATCTTCTTTCTGAATTTTTGAAAAGAAGTTCAGACAAATCCAAAGTTCTCGTCTGCATTTGTGGACCAATGCCATTTACAGAACAAGGAATGAGGATGCTGCATGATCTTAACTTTTCCAAAGATGAGATCCATGGTTTTACTGCATAATGAAGAGCTGTCGTCTTTTACTCAACTGTTTTATCTAAATTTGTGATGGCTTAGGGTTTTTTTAAGACAACATTTTTGTATATACTAAGAGGTTAACCGGACTCCAGGCTTGTTTCTTAAATGAAATCAAATGTTCCGTCACTATGGAAAACCTGTTGACTTTATTTTATACCATAACTTATTTTACTACTGATATTTGACCTGGAAAGTCAATCATGACAACAAACACATGCAGGTTGTTTGTTATGAGTCACAAGGTTTCTTACCGTTTAAATTGTCTCACTGTTCTACGATGAGCTCTTGTGTTTTATGACATGATAAAGTAAATGATCATTTGGATCATGTTTCTATGCTGTAAAATGTCTTAGCAATACAGACTAAATTTTACATTGCACTGTTAACTCAGGAAATGATCATTTATGTTATTGTTATTAATATTAAAACATGGAATGTTATATCTTATTAAGTGATTTAAACAATTTCTGTGTATGTGTGTGTGTGTGTGTGTGTGTGTGTGGCATTGATACAAAGTAGAATAAAAATATACTTAAGTAAAAAAAAATAAAATAAAATAAAATAAAATAATCATTTTCCTTTTGGTTCAGTATATGGTTCATTTTGTTTTAAATACATATTATCCTCCTGGCAAAAGCATATGTGGGCATCATAGGTTTCAAGAAAATCTCTCCCTATTGATACCCTGAATGGCAAGCTGGGACTCTCCTCACAGGTTCTTTTCTCACAAAGCTTGAAGAATAAATTCACAGACTAAAAGATTTTAAGCAAAAGTGTGGGAGTTTATTGCAAGCGTATGCAAGCTCCTCCTGGGGAGGGGTCCCCAAATTGGGAAAAACCTGCTCTCTCTATAAAATGGGGAAAAAAATCAGTTCAGTGAGTGTCTTTGTCTTCAGGTTTATAAATGCTGGCAGCTCTTTGTCTGTTCATGCCACTTTCTAATTGGACCCTTCCGTAATTTATGTCCCCTGTGCTTTCCTAATTGGCCACTTTTCCCCTCTTCCCTGTATGGTATCAGTTTCAAAGTTTCAGACCTCACCCAGTGCCCCCCCCTTCTTCTTCCCCTTATCTTGTAACATTCTTGAAAACATTCTGGTGGCTTGGAGCTATCTCTGCCCGTCACATATGCATAACTCTCTTATGGACCCCCTTTCCCTAACTGCCTCTCCTATCTCCAAATTCCTTTCACTATCAGGTAAATTGGGGCTGATTTGACCAGTAAAAATATATGTTTCCTTGTAACATTCCCTAGTTGAAAGGGACATGTTGTGATTTTAAGACAGTCATTGGTTGGGAAGGTACCCCTACCATTTGCACAAAAGCTTTACTCTGAGGTAGGGAAACTTAGTTGGGTGGGGATTACGAAGGGATAAAGTAACCCCAGTATTTACAATGGCCTTAGTAACTTCCCCTTTCATGATAATTTCAATTTCTCATAAAGTATTAGTAAGGAGAAGGGGAAATACCTTCTCATAGTCCTCAGAGCAGCCCTATGTTTACTTCTGTTTTAAAACTAAAATCCCATTTTAGTTTTCTACAATCTTTCTTATGGTGACCTGGATTTTTACAGTAAAAACAGCCTCCTACTAGTTTACAATTTCAGCCTCCTATTTAGTAATTCTGTTGCTTAACTCTCAGAAAATATTAGGCGTATTAATTGGAATAGGTCACAATAGCTACTACATATTCTAACAGTTAATATTTTTGTGAATTCATCACAAATTTATCCCAGATAAAGTCAGGTTCCTCTTTAGATGAGACCAATGTTTTTTTCCAGGGGAGTTGTTAGAATTCCTATTCTCATTTTCCCTTAAGTCAGTGAAATGGAGGAGACAGAAGGAGAAGGAAGAAAGGAGGGGAAAGGGCAAGTCTAGAAGGAAGTTCAGAAAACAAAGGACGTAGTGTAAGAAATATAGAAGGGGGAAAATGGGGTGTAGGCATTTCCTAGCTTCAGAATAGTTCAGAGACAGTCTCTAAAATGTCTTAATTTATTTTTAAAAAAGAATTTATCTATGCTTCTCCTTAGAAGCTTCTAATTTCCAAATCAAGATATGCTTCACATTCATTTAGTTTAATTTCAGAGCCAGCATTTTTCTAATTTTTCATGCAAAATATTAATTTATGTTTCCAAAGACAACTGCATTTTGGCTATTTTTAAGTTGATGTTTTCTAGTTAAATCTTCCTATTTCTGTAAAGCACTTGCAAGTAAAGGCTTCCTATCAAGACTATTAAATGAAGGCTGGGGTTTGGAAGTTTCCGGCACACTTTCCCATGTTAATTTTAGGGTTGTGGGTTTTTTTTTGTTGTTGTTGTTTGTTTTTTTCATATCTGCAGAGTCTGAGGACATTTTCTAGGGATATTATGTAGTAGGTCAAAGTGTGCCGCATATGAGTTGAGCTCCATGAGGCTCTCATTCAATTCCTTGAGTCGCATTCAACCCTCTTAGGTGTCTCAGTTTCTCTCCTGGTTGTATAAAACAACTGCAAGGGCTCGGGATGCTGGCAGACCAAGCCTTATGGGAGTCCCCTGGATGAGCCTGTGAGCTTCCTTACAGTTGAGTTAGAACTTCCCTAGGGGGCTCCTGTCCATCATAAGGAATGACCTCTGACTCCTCTACAAAGGTTCTTAGTCACCTCAGAATACCTGAGATTCAGGCTAGAGGGAGGATGTGCCTCTTTATCTTCAGAGCTGAATGAGTTCAGCTCTCACTTAGGTGAAGGCTTTTTTGCTCAGACTCTCAGAAAGCAACTGTAATTAAAAAAAAAACTGAAATCAAAGCCAGTCACCCATTTTTTTTCCTTCTGTCTCACCTTAGCATGGGTTCTGTTAACCTTAGTTCCACCTTGAGGACTTAAAAATACAGCTCAAATAAAGTCATACCCTCTACAAAATCAAGGCAAGGTTCTGGGTCCAAGAGACAAGTCACACAAGTTCACCCAGTGGGCAGGGAACTGGTGGGCTCAGTGGACCCTTTGCTCATCATAGCACCAGGTCCGGGTCTGTGGGGTGTTCCTGGGTGAGCTCCTTTGGGATTCTGCCAACTACGTCAAGTAATTTTAACATAAGAAGCATTCAAACTGTAAAGAATTTTTTTGTGTTTATTTGAGTCAAACTGTTGACAATTGCTGGGAAGCAAAAAATCTCAAAGGATTGAGATAATGCTCCAGAGAATAGCAGTTTTGCATCTTGCTTTATATATCACAATCTGAAGAGATGTAAATGGGTTACATGAAATCCATTGGTGGTAGAAAGGGAGGTGGGAGAAAGCAAAGTGGGGAAACCTCTGGGATTGGATAAAAAGTTAAATGATAGACACATATTCTTTTACTTAGGTGGGTGTAGGATAGTTAACAGTTAACTCAAGAACAATAAGGGTATCTGTGGTCTTCGCAGAGTGGTGCCTGTGCTTTGAGGGGTCCAGGAAAAAGAAAATTACTTTGATGTTTCAATGATAATATCATAGATGCAAAAAGACAATAGGCTCAGTTAAGGTAAAGATTGACCTTTGTCAGGGAAGATACCAGCCTAGGACATGACAACTCACCATAAACTGCGTTTTAACTTAAAAAGTTTTAATTTGAGACCATCCTTTTTGGTAACTTTAGGTCTCTGAGTTTGCAAGCCTGCCACACAGGCCTTCCCCGAACTAATCAGGTTAGTATGTGGTCCCTTTTCATTCATAATGGTGATGGAAGAAAACTTTACTTAGGGTGATGAACACACTATATAATACAAAGATGATGTATTATAAATTTGTACACCTGAAACATATAATTTTGTTAACCAATATCACCCCAATAACTTCAATCAAAAATTTTCAGCTTCTCTACCACATCAGAGATTCAATGATGGCAGTGTTCAAACTGAATACTCTCCATGTGAGAAGAGAAACATGTTATAATTTAATAAAAGTTTTATGGTTTTGGGAAATAATTAGAAATAATATAGATTACTTCATGAAAATAAAAATAATAACTAGCAATTATTAAACATATTCTATATAGTAGTCACAATGCTAAGTGCTTAATATATGTGATTTTGTTTAATTCTTACAATTATCAATGATTTTCATATGAGAAACTTGATTCTCTGATATGGTTAAATGCTGAGGTTGACCTGCAGACCCTGAGTGACGGAGGAATGATTATGCTGACACACATTTCTGTGAAAGACAGGGCTAAGGGACTGCTTGGCTTGAGAAACCAAACAGCCCCGTTGGCCTGCCTCCTTAGGCTTTTATTGTAACAACAGCTTGAACTAAAGTTAACTATTAGATACTATCAGAAGGGTAAGCATCCTTGAGAAGACACATGTATCTGCAGTGTCCTTTAAGCAAGGACATCTAAAGACTAAACATAAAGGTTCCAGTAAAACACCCAGGGGCTTGGACTTTTTTGGAAAAGTCAAGGCAGGGTCTGCTGCCTTTGGCAAGGACCACCTAGAGGCCTCCGACCTTTTGGAGATTCCTCCTATAGACTTTCCCCACAGTTAAATAACTGTCCCTGACTAATAAAGTAAGTGGCAGAAATAAGGTCAGTGGGAAGCAACAAACTAAATGCACTCAGAGGTTCAGAAAAGGACTGTTTATTCACACCGGTGATGGCCCAGTGGAGTCCCCTCCAAAGGCTGAGCACCAAACACAGCAGGGTTTTGCCTTATATACATCCCCAGGTTCTTTGTCTCCCATGTATGGCACGCACACACATTCTAGACATTCTTTCTACTTTACGTGCTAAGCTTCCAGGTATTTTGCAGGCTTTCCACACCTATTGCAGTTTGTGCTGAAGGCCTGTTGCCTAGAGTGCAGATGGAGGACTCGGTGCCTTACCTGAGCCTAGGGGAACGTCCCTGGACCGCAGGCAGAGAGTGCCACATGTGCACACACGCAGACCTCCCTACGTCTCACTGTCAATCAGCCAAGAAGCAAGCAGAATTACAGAAGCCAGGGGCATGGTCATAGTGGTGCAGACAAAAGGGGGGTCTATTTGCTTTTGACTTGCCTTCTCAGTGGTAAGGTGAAATTTACAAGAAGGCCTAATTTTAAAACATGTTTGTGTTGGGGACAGTCCAAATATATATATTTATTTCAGAAAGGAAGGGAGAGGGAGATAGAAACATCAATGATGAGAGAGAATCATTGATCAGCTGCCTCCTGCATGACCCCCTCACTGGGGATCTAGGCTGAAAGCCGACATGTGCCCTGAACGGGAATTGAACCAAGACCTCTTGTTTCATAGGTTGACACTCAATCACTGAGCCACACCAGTTGGGCATGTTTGGAACAATATTAATGTGTTGTATAGCCTCAAAACAACCAACAAAATTTAACACATATTTTGCAATGGTGATTGTTTATTTAATACAAGTTAAGATTGCTAGAACTACCTATTAAAACAGTAGATCTACTATGGATAAAGAGTAAAGTACTAATTTTTTACCTG